TCATTCCAATTATAAAGGTGAAGGATTAAATGTAGTAGGGAGATCAAACGATAAAAGAACTGCCAAAATTTGGTTCATAACATCATATCTAATGGAATTGATCAAAATATTTATGCAAATATTGTAACAGGCATGGGAACAAATGCATATTGTTCCCGATTGCTTAAAATTGAAGAAAACGAGAAGACATGTAAGAGAACTGTAGAAAATTATTTTGGTGACATAGAATATGATTTTCCATATTTATTCTCAAAAGGATTGCTTATTAATTATGCGTCTGTAGAGATGAGATTTACTCAATGGGCAATGAGTCATGTTGCTAAGGTCATGGCATTGTTTTCATTCGGATCAAGACACATGATGTTAAAATCAGGACTTGTTTTTGATTTGAAGCAGACCATCATTCCTTTCAGTACTCTTGATTTAAAAAGTTGCAAATATTTTGACTCAGGTGGAGTACTTAAAGTCTTCAAAGGTGTTCATAAAATTATGAAAAAAGTGGCAAATATTTTGGGGTTTCATTTGACGAGTACACATGAAATTTTGTCCAAGTTTTAGACTGTTAGGTATGGCCCAAATTTTCTAGGCCTAATGCCTTGTGCAGCGTATGTAATCTTAAAAGCTATCACTCAAGCTCTCTAAAATTATCTATCTTGTACCATGCAAGCTAGAACTTTCTAGAGGTTACTTAATATCGGAAGCAATGACTCCTGAGATTTCTTCAATATTATAGCTGTAAGAATGCTGATGTAAGTGATACTATATATATACACACACACTACGATCTTGAACACAGGAAACCAAAACTACGAGCCTTCCTTCATTTTAGCCCTTGTATACAATCCACGTATTTTACCAGTCCACTATTCTTTCTTTGTACTTCATCTTCATAAGATTATTTTTACAACAGTGAGAGTTATTAGTGTACTTACCCTGATATTTTGGGGTTCATGTTCTCTGCAATTTTTCATATAGTGGATTTTCGAGTGCTTGTCATCCGTGGGTTTTTGGCCTTAATTTGAGGATTTTCCCACATTAAATTGTGTGTCCTTGATCACTTCTCTAGTTTGAGTTGTCTCATTTATTCCCAATTAATTCTTCTCAATATTTACATCTTTGTTTCCGCTGTGCATTCACAACCCTAAAATATTAAAATTGTTGTCTTGCATTTGAAATGCTCAACGCTTTAACTTATAAGGTACATTGAGAATCCTTGGAAATGGCTGCATTTGATCTTCAGAACTGTGTATGCAGTATTCTATCCTTGCTCATAATCTGAAAACATAGATTGTGAGGTGTTGGTCACCTTCAGGTTCCAACAATGATGGCTTATCCCTTCCCCACCCTTCCTTTTTTCAGTTAGATAAATCCATTATTTACCTGACTACTACTCTGGTGAAATTTAATCTTTTATTTTAGTGTGCAGTAGACTGGCTTTCTGAACTGCCTTTTCTCCTGACTACCAATTTTGTGCCACGCCAATTACACTATCAGTTGACCGGATGTTCTCAACTCAGCCTTAGATATGCTTGGTAAATAGGAGTGCGCAAAATAAGATGGGGGAATGATATTAAACAATTAATCTGGTGTGGAGACATATATTGAACTTTCTTCAATTTGCTTTCTGAAACTGCTAGGTTCATAGGTGTACAATATCTCTAAATTTTAATAATCCATGATTTAGTGTGTACAATATCTCTAAATCTATAATAAACCATGAGTTTATTATACTGGGTTATGTTTCAAACATTTGATCGGGATTTTCTCTTCTTTTTTTTTTTTGGTTTAAGGTGCACAGTTAGGGACCAAGATTTAATTTTAGCAAACTATTCTCTGGCCTTTTGTGTTGGAGGAATAATTAAAGATTATAACACTCATATGGCTGTGATTTAGTATGTCTACCCATGTTGGACTAAAGTGGCTGGCTTAATATGGTGGTCTTTGAAATGGGCATTGTTGGCTTCTGGTATTCTTTGGGACATGTGGTGAGCTGTGTTACTAAAATTCTTCATTCCAACCAAGTATCGGTCCTGGATTCATTCTTTGGTATACCTTTTAATAACTTTAGGTTTAATGATATCTATATGACATCCCTGAAATTAACAAGTCTGAGCAATGACAATCTTTAACCCAAGTTTGGGTAATCATAGTCTAGTTTAGACATGGACACATCCTATCTAGTTCTTAGCTCTTGCCATGTTATTAATTGGGATTATTCAATTTAGATGCTCTTTTGGTAAAATATGTTTAATTTTTAGTCATCAATCATGGGAGCTATAAAATGGACAGATATAGAACTGGGATGGAAAATGTTTCAATATCTTATTTCGATAGTAGTTCAGTCATTGAGAGCTTGCTTATTGTCTCATCATCACCATATGAAGCCAAGAATTAATTTGACTGTACTACAATGGTGATATCTGACTCCATATTTTCTTCTTGCCAATTGCATCTCTAGTTTTCTTTTCTAAAAAGGAACCTGAAAGATGCATATATCTTCATGCTTATGGATTCTTGCATGACGATATTGAGAATAAAAACATGAAATTTTGTGCCTTTCTAAATTCTAGACAGAATCGTGGTACAACACACCATTTAGAGTCATTGACAGAATCAAATGAGGTGATGAGGGACATTGAGAAGCATTGTGCTACAGTTTTTTGGTAGCCTAAACAGATTTCAAGTCAAATTGTTTTTGTCAAGTCATCATACTAGGTTTTAACATGCTTTACTTGTCTATGTTGCAGAGTATAAACTCTGCTTAAACAATTTTAATTTCAAACTTTCAATTTATAATTATTTACTTTCTTGAAATCATCGTTGTTCCATTTGGCCAGTTAAAGAGGCAATCATGCTTTGTGTATGTGTACTCCTCATAATATAAAATAGCATTTGGCTATATTTTATCTCATTGGTATTCTAGATAGAATGGAATTAGGAAATTGTTTCGGGGTTTCCTATTGTGTCCTGCGGGAGAGTTACAACTCCAAGACTGGATCTGCTGGTGCCTGTACGTGCAACAAATAGAAGCCTCCGACGATCTAGGTAGTACCGAACGGAGAGAAATAAATGCGGAAAGTAAAGTAGTTCTTCTCGGATCCTGAGATCTAGGTGATTTCACTGTTGTTAGAACAGGTGAATAGTGTCTGAAAATGACTGTATGATTGTAATAAAGATTGTGTCCCCCAATGGTAGTAAATATCCCTACTTATAGGGCATGGGGAACGTGCCCTTCCTTAGGTCACTTTAACCTAGGAGTTTGGGCCGCGCCATTTTACGGCGCACGGGGATTTGGGCCTTTGAAGGCCGCCAATCATCCCAATGATGAGGGATGCCACGTGTCATGCCCTGATTGGTCTCATTGGGACAACTCCTAGAGCGACATGTCACTTCCTCATTGGTCCACGCGTTCAGGGTATTTTTACCCTAAACAGAAATTATGCTTTAAATTGAGATAAAGCATTCATATCCATCCTGCCAACTGGTGTTACAGTGGGATGATGAAAAGCTATCTCTTGCATTACTCTACAAATGTATCATTTCAGCTCTTGAACTGTATTAAAGAAAAATAAATATCAACAAGAATATTAGATCGCATAATCACAGAAAGGAAAATTGCAACCTAGAAGACTTTACTGCAACTCATACTTTGCTTCGAACTTTTGTGAGCATTCTGCTTGAATTAAACATTACTTCTTGTTTAGCGGAAACTACATAATGTTTTTTTTTTTTTTACTTCATCCTTACTCCCCCTTTTATCAGTTTCTTTTTCTCTTATTTTCTCTTTTCTTTTTGGATGGGAAGATAGATAGGACTGCTGCATTTTTTTTTCTGGTGCTGTGAATTGTCAAAATTTATGCTTTGTAATTGGCTGAAAGGGCTTTCGATGATGCAAGATAGCGGATATCATCTATATTTTAGGGTCTTTGTTGCTTCCTTTTAATGATCTCATCATCTTAATGTGCAACTTTTAAGGAGCATCGTCCATTGCAGTTTGAGAACTGTGAGTATTGTTACAATAGGAAGGCAGCAAAAGTACGCAAATTCCTCTAGCATAAGTGTTTCTAAACTAGTAGTTGAGGAACATCTTGCTTCCATTTTGTGAGCCTCACGAGTGGGTTCGCATGCTGAATGAAGAAAAGACTTATTTATAGGTCAAAATCTGGCCATTTGGTGACTTTTGTGGCTCTCTCACCTTGTGTTTACTTTAGTACAAAGGCTTTATTCTCTTCACTTTATTTAAGGTGTCCTGGTCTGAAATTTTGAAATTCTGGTTTGTTTTTTTTTATTTTTATTTCTGGTCTGAATTTTGTCTAGTCTGGTTTAAATTTTGCAAGTACAACAGGACTAAGATGAGGGAAACAAAGGCAAGCAACAATGGTGGTTGAATTACTGCTGTTTGTTATTTTTTTTATTTTTTATTTTTATTCTTCTCTGTTGGGGTTAGAGTTGGGTTTTGGGGGGGGGGGGGGGAAGTATTTTGTTGGATATCTATAAGCCTTAAGGACTTGCGGTAACATTGCTGGCTGTAGGTCTGACTCTAGTTTACAGCCTCTGATAATCCACACTAAGTCTGAAACGTGAATTTTAATCACACTTTCCTGGGGTGTCCTGGAACCTACTGTCTTGTCAAATTTTATGGTAAAATTTTAGGAGAAATCCTGCAATGAACAGAAATTGTGGTTATTCTACAATTTATAAAGATAAATTGCACTCTTTCCTTGTGCAAATCAGTTTGATCACTTTGATGAGTATTACTGTATTATGGTGTTATTTTCTGATATCTGCAAACTATTTCTCATTAAATAAGCAGTTCTAGAGTGATGGAGCTCTTATTAAGATATCACTCTGGAAAAGGGGAGGGTGGTGAATCTGGTGATGATTGGCATGTACCAACTAGCATAGTGATATTGTTTGGAAACATGGGATTTTGCTACAAAATTTTCACTGTTTATCTTCTATCAGTTTTGTAATGTTTCTGTCCTTTACTTTTGAAACAGGTTCATATGTTACTCATGAGACAAACCATTTTATTTACTTCTATCTGGATCAGAAGGCTGTATTGCTATTCAAATCTGGTTGATGATGCCAAGGATTTCCTTTGAGGGTGATGCTATTAGATGAAGATCTGTGACACCATGGCGCTATGTTATAGATGTTGACGAGCTCCTTTATGTATTACCATTGAAACCCTAGCATGAAGTGTCTTAGGAAAACATCCTTATGCTTGTACATTTTACTCCCTGAATCATGCCTTTGTTTATTCTTGACTAGGATTTGAAAAATCGGACTAATATTTGATTGTTAGCTATTTCTCGCTGGATACTCGTTGAGCTCGATGCTTTATTGTATATCCAGATTCTTGAATATGATGCAATGCAGAGGTCTATCGTGGCTCCATTAGCAAGTTAGTGATTTTAATTATGAATATAAATTTTCTGTTTGATTATTGTATTGTTGCATGACTTGCATCTTTGATGGCCTCAATAGCTTTTGAAATCTTAAACTTGATAGAAGATTAGAGTGTGACACCAATTTAGGAGCAGTGTGCCAAATCCACGACTTGGTAACTAACTTGACATCCTATTTCCTTGGCTGTAGAAGGGGGGAAAAGACAGAGGTGGGAAATAGGGCAAGGCGGAGAAGGGACAGCTTTACTCTAAAACTCATACCCATGGCGGCTACACTTTTTATATCCATCCCCACCCCATTACCCGCCAAACCTCCCTCCATCCCCGTCCCATTTGCCCCGACCCACTGCCATCCCCGCGAAACAGTTTACATGACTCAATTTTGATCTTTTGCTCACTAAAACTTTGTTTTATTCTTAACCAAAATGGTACCAAAGTGATGCATTGCAATACTTGAGATAGTAGTGGCTACGGGTTTGTTGATGAGGGGTATTCATCTAGACTACTAACTTCCCTTCAAACCAATGAGGACGTTGTCTTCGTTTGGGGGGATTTCTTGTTTATAGAGATTTTGTTCTCTCCTTTTCTTTTTATTTTCTTAAGTATGCTTAGTTTAGATTTTATGCTTTATTAGCTTAGGAAAGATTTATTACTTTTAGAATATATTTCACAGCTTTCATAGGAAATACTTTTAATAAAAGGAAAAAAAACATAATAAATAAAATAAATAAATAAAAAATAAAAAGAATCTTAATATACATTTCCAATGAATTATGAATCATGCTTTTCTGTGCCCCTTAATGAAAATTGTTATAATTTTGATTCTTGGTAACTAATGATGAATATTGAGGATTTATAAGCCATGATTTGATGTTTATTACTTTGAAGCCCTGATATGCGTCAATTTTGTCCAAATACATGTGAATATGATGCTTAACTACTTGATTTGGTTAGGAATTGTGTGTTAGTTGCCGGTAGGTCATTGAATTTGAATTTTGGTTTGCGACTATTAATAATCTTGTATGGCTCATATATAGGCACATTGAGAAGGTCGAAACCATTTGTTCTCTTAGGAAGCTTTAAGATTATTTTAGATACATTTGATCCTTCCTTGCGACCTATGTTGTTGCCTGGTTTTTTTTTTTTTTTATTTATTATTATTATTAATTTTGCTGCATTACAAGCCTTATGAGCCCTATTCATTAATAGTCCCAAGCTTGGCTTAGGGGAGCTATTAGTTAGTGAGGTGAGGGAGTTGTTGTGTGCATATGTTGCACAACTTGGGTGACAATTTGGGTGAAAAAGTTGAAGATATTTTGTTCAGATATTGTTTGAAAAAAGATTTAAATACGTGTTCAACAGTTGAAGATTCCAATGTTGTAAAAAAAAAAAAAAGTCAATGTTCAAATGTTTCTAATTGAAGGTATTCGGAAAAAAAAAAGAAAGATAAGAAAAAAATTCAAAGTTTGGTAAGAAAAATAAGACGCAGAAAAATTCTTTAAAAAGAAAAACATAGATCCATAAATATTTTTTCTTGACAAATAAAAAGAAACACAGATTATCTTCAAATAAAAACACCAACTCATAAATAATCTTTAAGAAAAAAAATACTCAAAAATTTTCATGACAAAAAAGAGGAAAAAAAAACAGAACAAACACAAAATATATAAAAATTTGGGAAGGGAGATAAAAGAGAAACATGCTTTGAATTCTTCTGAGAGAATATAATGTTGGAAGCTCAATTTATATCTAGAAAAGGTTAAATTAAAACGAATAATTCCACCTTTGTCATTTCTGTTCAAAATAATCCCACTTTTGCGAATCCTAAATACAATCCCACCTTTTATCCTCATCTGCTCATAATAGTCCTTTGATCGGTTTGTGAAATTGGTAACCTGTGTTAGAAGGTGACTTGTCATGTGTCCCCTTATGATTGGTCTTAACTTTTTTTAGAAAACAATAACAAAAATAATACTTATAAAAAAAATAAAAAAATCAACCATGCCCCTTTCTCCCCTTCCCCTCCCCGGCCACCACCTAAATCCCCTTCCCGGCCACCATCTAAAACAGTCCCCCTGCCTACACCTTCGTTGCTGGAGCAGCCCCACTCCCCTTTCCCATTGGAGAAGCCACCAACCCCCTTTCCCGTTAGTTTTTTGCTCCCCACCTTCACCCACCAACAACAGCCCAACCGAACACCACCATACACGCACCCACAACATCAATGTCTTGCTCAACTCGGCCCCAATCAACCACCAGTTCCACTTCCAAATTCGCACATAGAGCAACCACTAATCCCCTAGTAACAACCCCAACTTCACAGCCACCACTCCCAAATAACGACAATAACAGTTGCCCTTAGCAACTCCAAAACAACTAATAAACAACAACCAAACAGACACGAAAAGTATCAACTTGGGGGGCAAATCGGAGAATTTTTGCTCCCAGCCTACATTTGAAGTAGAGCTTATCTACTATCAGCAGACAAGCTCACTTGGGAGGCAAATCGGAGACTTTTTGCACCCAGCCAAAATATAAATTAGAGCTTATCTGCCATTAGCAGACAAGCTCACTTGGGGGGCAAATCGGAGATTTTTTGCTGCCAGCCTAAATATAAAGTAGAGCTTATCTACCATCAGCATACAAGCTCACTTAGGGGGCATTTGCTCCCAGCCTGCATATAAAGTAGAGCTTATCTACTATCAGCAAACAAGCTCACTTAGGGGGCAAATTAGAGATTTTTTGCTCTCAGCCTACATATAAAGTAAAGCTTATCTGCTATCAGCAGACAAGCTCACTTGGGGTGCAAATCGGATATTTGTTGCTCCCAGCCTGTATATAAAGTAGAGCTTATCTGCTATCAGCAAACAAGCTCACTTAGGAGGCAATTCGGAGATTTTTTGCTCCCAGCTTGCATATTAAGTAGAGCTCAGCCACAAGCTCACTTGGGGGGCAAATCGGAGATTTTTTTGCTCTAAGCCTAAATATAAAGTAGCGCTTATCTGCTATCAGCAGACAAGCTCACTTGGGGGGCCGAAATTTTTTTGCTCCCAGACTCCAAAAGTTAAATGATTGAGTTCAAATAAGAACTCAATCGCCAAAAGTTGAAATGATATAATTCAAGTGAGAACTCAGTCTCCTAAAGTTGAAATGATTTAATTCAAGTTAGAACTCAGTCTCCTAAAGTCAAAATGATTGAGAATGAGTAAAAACTCAGACTCCCATAGGTTAAAGTGATGGGACACTTAAAAGGGTATCAACGCTTTAACAATGAAAGCAAGGACAAGTGAGAACATCAGTTGCACAGACGTCCTCACTTAGGGGGGCTAGTTGTATGGGGAGATACCGATAAAGATCATATCAGTGCCGATATCACCCCTTTTAGAGAACACTTGGATTACTACTGCTGGTCATAATGACCATGTCGGTAATTGCTTATAACGGCATAGATTAAGGCCGTCTTGTGTATACCACGTGGCGTGAGGCAACCAACACTTGGCATGTGTGTCATTTGCATGGCATGTAGCCACATGTCAGGTGAATCTTCTATAAATAAGCAAGTTAATCCTTCGTTAAAAGGTAACAATAAATGCTCTCTCTCTCTCCTTCTCTCTCAAGATCTTCTCTTCTTCTTAAACACTTTCTAACTTTATCATCGGAGTGGTTCTCACCCCGGGGTTAGCTAATCCTCATTGTCTATGTAGGTGCTTACCTGGACGATAGGGTCTTCACGGAATCTGAATACGGGTTATCGGGTTACATTCGGAACAATAATTTTTTAATTTATGATTATTTTTTATGCGTACTTTAGTATGCAAGATTGACGCTGATGAAGAGGGAAATTAAACAGTCAAATCACAAATGTAAATTTGAATAATATATTATGAGAGTATATCAATATGATTTACGGTTGTAAACAATTTAAATAATGTTTTTCAATGTCTCTCCTCTATAGACAATCTTGAGGCTTAGACAATCTTGAGGCTTTGAGGAAAAAATCTCAGTAATACTTGATTGTTATAATCTTTTATTTTTATGTTGTATTTAAATTGGATGGTTTAATATGGGTATGAAGTCATCATTTCAATGAATTCACTGTTTTTCATTATATATAGTTAAAATAATTTAAATTAGAATGATTTTGTGTTTATATATATTTTCGATAGAAAAAGAAAGTATTTGGCTAATAAATGACCACATAGACTGGTGGAAAAAACCGCTGCAAATAGTGGTTAGTCAACGAAGGTCAACCATTTAATTTATTAGTAGCAGAGGGAAAGAGCATTGCTAATCTTGTTCTGTTACGAGGTTGTGGTATCCGAATTGAGGTCTATTCTTCTTTACTCCACATCCTAGGCTGATCTTTTGTTCATGCAGTTGTTGTGTACGTATTTTTCTTACTAGCTTAATTAAACTTACTGGAGTGCTCAACAATCAGTCAGTGAAAAGCATGTGGGAATGTTGTAGAATTTTTGTAGAGCATATCTCTGGTGAGCTGCCAAATTATTAAGTTTTTTCTGCTTTATTTTATTATTTCTTAGTGATGATATTTCAAGTGATGGGATAATTTACTATTGCTAGTGGAAATAAGGCAGTGTTGTGAAGTTATCCAATGGAAAAAATTTGCGATACTATCTTTCACGAGTTCTAACTTAGTAGTTTCTTGCACAGGTTACAACCTTAGTCAATCTGTAATTGTTATTCTAGGAAAGAACCAACTGATAGGGTGCAATTTGCAAAGACTATCTACTGAATTATGTAATTTACTGATTAATTTAGAATTATTTTTTCTTTAGGTGGAACAGCAATCTTGTGTTGGTTGAACATTATTCTGCATTAATGTGTGTTTGGCCAGGCTAGCAGAGTTCCTGCAGCTCGGAGGTGCTGATGTTATCCAAACAGAAAGGGGGAAATGTTAAACACCTTCAAAACCTGGGGTTTTGGGTTTGATTGAGAAGGCAAAAATCTCATCATTATAAACTTTTAATGCAACAAAATGATTACCCCAAG